CTCTCTCTCTCTCTCTCTCTCTCTCTCTCTCTCTCTCTCTCTCCCTCCCTCCCAAAAGTGCTTTTTCCAGAGGCCACTGGACGTTCTGTGTTTTTCTCCGAAGGCCTTTGTTTTGGAGAGCCTTAGTCCGCGTCCTCAGGGACACCTGAGTGGTGCAAAGGGTTGTGGAGTCCACAACAAGGCTCCGTTGGTTCCAAGAAGGCTCCATACCTGTTTGCAACGCTCAGGTGACCCCGAGGACACAGGCAGACCTCTCACGTGGCCTCAACGGCCCTCTAAGAAGGGTGCAAATGACCCGCTGCTTGCAAAGAATATCATTCCTTCCATCTCCCACCTTCCCAGTCAGAGCTAAAGAAGCTTCTTGGATGAGGAGCGAAACGTCTTCAAAGACAAACCAGGAAGTCCAGTTACCTCCTAGGAATAAAAGCACCTTTGGATTGGACTGTGACCTTCAAAGTCCCTCCTCTGATTCTAAGATCCTTCCTTCCTTTTTCTTTCATTCTCCCCCTCTTTCTTTCCTTCCTTTCTTTCGTTCTTTCTTTTCTTTTCTTTCTTTCGTTCTTTCTTTTCTTTTCTTTCTTTCTTTCTTTCTTTCTTTCTTTCTTTCTTTCTTTCTTTCTTTCTTTCTTTCTTTCTTTCTTTCTTTCTTTGTGGCCTCTCCGGCTCTCCCTCCAAAGGTGCTTTTTCCACAGGCAACTGGATGTTCTGTTTTTCCTTCAAAGACCTTTGTTTTAGAGAGCCGTTGAGGCCACCTGGAATTTTGCCTGTGTCCTCGGGGTCACCTGAGTGACGCAAACAAGTTGCGGAGCCCACAGCGCAGCTCCTTTCAGCAGTTCCAAGAAGGGTCGAAACCCATTTGCACCACTGAGGACACAAATAAACCTCCAAGTGGCCTCAACGGCCCTCTAAAAAGGATGCAAACGACCGGCTGTCTGCAAAGAGGATAAATCCTTCCGTTCCACACCATCCAGGCAGAGCTGAAGAAGCTTCTCGGATGAGAAGCAAAACATCTTCAAAAGAAAAACCAGAAAGTCCAGCTGCCTCCTGAAAAAGCACTTTTTGGGACTTACCTGGCTGTGTTTCCCGTCTGGTCCACCTGGTAACGGCTAACCATGGTCTGTTGGACGTTGTCCCAAGAGGCGCTCTAACCGAGAACTCCGCCCCTCTCTTCCCTGTCCACGCAGCGCCACCGACGACTTCAACCACGGCGTGGTCCTCAGCAACCGCCCCCTGCGGAACGGCGAGGTCTTCCAGGTGCGGATTGACAAGATGGTGGACAAGTGGGCCGGCTCCATCGAGATTGGCGTCACCACCCACAACCCCACCTACCTGCAGCTGCCGTCCACGATGACCAACCTGCGGTCAGGTGAGAACTGCGACGGTAATCTCTTGGGATAGGGTCTTGGCAGGGCATGTCCAGAATCGCTCAGCCATTTTAAGACCTGAGAATTCATCTTCACCTTCATACTTCCCCCTCCACAGAGCAGAGTTTAGGGTTAGTTTCTGTAACCAGGCCCTGGGCCCGGCTGTTCCTCCTCTTCCTCATCAGCCCCCTCCAGACCTGGGGGCTGTTGACTCTCCATCGGGGGGCTGGCGGACGGTCCAGGCTCCGCCTCTCTCTCTGCCAGCTCTGCTCCCTTTTCCCCCTCGGAGTTCCCATCCCGAGCACCAGCCCATAGATTTCCACCACTCTCCTCTCCTCTCCTCGGAGCTCCCAGGTTGCCCTGATGCTGACCCCGACTCCCACTCCGCCTCCTCCCTCCTCTGATTCGGTTTTTGGAGGGACAGGCGGCCACAAAGGAAGAAACAACTGGGTAGTCTTCTAAAAAGAAAAAAAAGCGGTTCTCCTCCCTCACCTGACTGACAAAGGGGGGGTGCCTGTCTTCGGTCCTTCCTCCTGCAGGCACCTGGATGATGACGGGGAACGGTGTGATGCACAATGGTACAACTATCCTGGACGAATACGGCCACAACCTGGATCGCTTGAAGGCAAGCCGGAGAAAGAAGGGGCAAAAAAGTTGACAGGGCAGAGGAAAGACGGAAAGGGGACTGCGAGGCGGCATCGAAGGCGGGATCTTAGGACTGCCTTTCCCAAAAAGCAATACGAGTCGTCCTTGACTTACGTCCTTCCGTTGAGTGACCAAAGTTACCACTGGAAAGGAAAGGGACTTTTAGGAACGGGTCTTTCACACTTAATGACCATTCGTAGCATCCCTGCAGTCACGGGATTCGGATGCTTGGCCCGTGACTCATATTTACGACGGCTGCAGCATCTCGGGGTAGTGGGAGGAGTGTCAGGTTATCCCCTCTCGCAACCTCCTGACAGGCAAACGTCAACGGGATTAAGCCAGGTTCATTTAACGACCGTGGGACTCGCTTTTAACAATGGCAGTCGGTTCACTTTAACCACGGTGGGTAGAAAAGTCGTAAAACGGGGCATAACTCCCCGAAACAAATATCTCAGTAGAGCAACCAAAAAAACCCAACGTTGGGCTCAATTGGAGTCGTAGGTTGAGGGGTGCCCATACTCTGGCCCAGGCGCAAACCGCCAGACTGGGAAATCGATTCCTGCGAAGGAGGCGTTAAGCAAAAAAGTCGCCAATCGAACTCTTGAACGCTGGAAGTTTTAAAAACATGTTGGTTAGCCATTTGTCTGAAGTGGTAGAGGGTTTCCTGCCTAGGCAGGGGGTTGGACTAGAAGACCTCCAAGGTCCCTTCCAACTCTGTGATTCTGTTCTGTTCTATTCTTATTTCTATTTGATACTTATTTCTATTCGACTCGATATGTATCCTTACATATTTCTATTCAGTTCTTTATTCTATTCTTTATTCTATTTTGTTCTATATTCTATTCTTACTTCTATTCAATTGTAATTTCTATTATATTTATATTCTATCATTCTTTTTATTATATCCTTATTTCTGTTCTGTTCTATATTTTATTCTTATTTCTCTTCTATCCTTATTCCTATTTTTTTATCTTTATTTCTATTTGATTCTTATTTTTATTCTCTTCTATATTCTATCCTTACGTATTTCTATTCTATCCTTATTTCTATTCTTATTTCTATTCTTATTCCTCTTCTATCCTTATTCCTATTTTTTATTTTTATTTCTATTTGATTCTTATTTCTATTCTCTTCTATATTCTATCCTTACGTATTTCTATTCTTTCCTTATTTCTATTCTTATTTCTATTCTTATTCCTCTTCTATCCTTATTTCTATTTTCTATCTTTATTTCTATTTGATTCTTATTTCTCTTCTATGTTCTATCCTTATGTATTTCTATTCTATCCTTATTTCTATGCTATTCTTATTTCTATTCTGTTCTATATTCTATTCTTATTTCTATTCTATCCTAGTTTCTATTCTATTGTTTCTATTCTCTTCTATATTCTATCCTTATGTATTTCTATTCTATTCTTATTTCTATTCTACTGTAATTCTATTTCTATTCTATTCTTATTTCTGTTCTTATTTCTATTCTATCCTAGTTTCTATTCTATCCTTATTTCTATTCTATTCTTATTTCTATTCAATTGTAATTTTATTTCTATTCTATCCTTATTTCTATTCCCTTCTTGTTTCTATTCTATTCTTATTTCTGTTCTGTCCTACATTCTATTCTTATTTCTATTCTATATTCTGTTCTTCACCCGTGGATCTGCCCTCTCTGAGGCTGTTCCCTTCTCCTCCTTCTCCCCTCCCCAGGCAGGTGACACGGTGGGCGTCGTGCGGAAGGAGGACGGGACACTGCATTTCTTCGTCAACGGGGTGGCCCAAGGCCCAGCCGCCTGGAACGTCCCGCCGAATATCTACGCCGTGGCCGATCTCTACGGCCAAGCTGCCCAAGCCACGATCGTGGACGACACAGGTAGTGGACACAGACCTACATGGGACAGGAAAGGGGTCAAGACAGAGACAAGGAACATGGCTTATTTTGAGGACGGGAAAGTTAAGAGTTGGTTTACAAGCCAGGAAGGAGAAATTTCCCGACAGTAAGAACAGTTAACCTGTAGAACAGCTTGCCACCAGAAGTTTTGGGTGCTCCATCAGTGGAGGTTTTTAAGAAGAGACTGGACAGCCATTTCTCTGGTCTTCCTGCTCAAGATGAGGGGAGGGGTAGGACTAGATCAGGAGGCGCCAACTTTTTGGACCTCAGGGACCATCAAACTCATAATTTTAAATCCCGCGCACCACTAATATGAATTTTGGCTGACGGCGGCTTGCTGACGTTTTCCCAGGGTCCCTGCAGAAAGCAGCAGAGGCCCTGGGAAAATCCCCCACCCCGTTTTCCGACCGATCGCTCGTTCTTTATTTGGGGTGGCAGGATACCGTCTCCAGCTCCGTTCTCACGGGGAGAGGGAGACAGAGAGGAGAGACTTTTGGCTTCATGCAAGGAAAGCAGCAGAAGCCGCAGAAGTCTTTCTTTCTCTCCCCCAAACTCTGCCACAAATGAGTCTTTGCCGGCGCAGCCTCTTGGAGCAGGAGGCCTTGCAGGGTCCCAAAGACTCATTTCTGGCAGAGTTTGGGGGAGAGAAAGAAAGACTTCGGCTGCTTTCCTTGCGCGCAGCCAAAAGCAGAAGAAGAAAGAAGCGGAAAGAAGCAGCCCGGTGGCCAAGCCAGGCATGTGGGGCGAGTGGGGCAAGTCTCCCCTCCACCCTTTCCCCCCTCCCCTCACTATTTCATATTGTTCGCAAAGCAAGCCTTGTGTTCCCGCGGACCATGCGGGCGACACAGCTTTGTATTCCCGCGCAGCCTGGATTAATTGCTTCGGGGGTGGGGGCATTTCTCTGCGGACCACCAAAATTTTCTCACGGACCACCAATGATCCTCAGCCCACCGGTTGGCAACCGCAGGACTAGATGACCTGCAGAGGTCCCTTCCAACTCTGTTATCCTGTTTGTATCCTCTGAAGCGCTAACGCTGCTTTATAATGCCCCGGTGAGGCCACACCTAGAGTCCTGCATCCAGTTTTGGTCACCTCAAAAAATATAGAAAAAAAGTTGAGACTCTAGAAAGAGTGCAGAGAAGAGCAACCGAGAAGCAACGGATGGAAACTCATCCAGGAGAGAAGCAACGTAGGAGTAAGAAGAAATTTTAAATCAGGGAGAACAATTAACCAGAGGGACTCCTTGCCACCAGAAGTTGTGGGCGCTCCAACACCGGAGGTTTTTAAGAAGAGATTGGGCGGCCATTTTGTCTGGAATGGCCTGTTTGAGCAGGGGTTGGAGTAGATGACCTCTAAGGTCCCTTCCAACTCTGGAAAAAAGCAGGAAGCCCAAAAGACAGGAAGACACCCCCCCATCAGAGAAAAACGGTGGGGAGGCCTACCCAGATGGATAGGGCATACAGCTGTACGGGGGCACATAAACTTCCGCCCACTTCCGATTTCCGGTCGGCATATTCCTCAACTCAATCAGCTTCTCTTCCTGGTTTGTTTCTCACAATTCAAGTAGACCAGTGAAACTCCTGCACTCCTCGCGTCTCGCGGGGGTTAATTTGGGGTGACCTTTGTGGGGCGTGGATGGGACGGCCTTGCTTCAGAGGGAGGTGGGTCCCTCGAGCGTGACTCTTGCCCAGGGGTGGTCTTCGAATCATTTAACTCTCAGCCCGTCCTTGAGTCCTGAAGATTTTTCCTGAATTGAACACAAACTCCAGCTCCTTTGTCGTGCAATGGTGGTTTATCCATTAGCTGAGCAAACAGCCAATACTCTAACCAGGCACGGTTAGAGTTGGGTTTGAGTTGGCTCCCTTTCCTTTTATCACCGTTATCATGAGACACACCTCACCACACCCAGGCCGATACACAGCTCTAGTTCTGGTCATGCCTAACCCGTTATCCCTAAACGTTATTAGCCCTATAACATGTCTACATCCCTACCCTATTCCAACCCTCACTAACTGATCCCCACCTGGCACCACCTTCACCATGTTTAACCTGTCTTAACTGCCATCTATATGTGCTGCAACCCCCTTTAACCGTATGCACCACATCGATACATGAAAAGAGCCACTCCCAGTGGCTCTGCAGGTGTTGCAGAATCCATCCTCCTCCTCCGTAGTTGTTGCAGAATCCATC